AGAAGAGAAGAGAAGAGAAGAGAAGAGAAGAGAAAAAAAAAAAAAAACACTAAACCACAGACGGCTCAATACTTTCCATGTGGTGCCGCTACGGAGGAAATCGCCTCCATTTGCTACGTGCAGAGCCGGGTGTCTGCACAGCGGCCGGGAAGAGAAAGGAGCCTGTTTCCCAGGTGGGGAGGAGGGGCTGCCGGAGGAGCTGCAGCCGGGAGGAAGGTGCCTCCCACACCCACGCGGGACGGGGGCGGCGGGGCCGTGCGAGCGGTGTGTGCGCTGCGGGGACATCTTTTCGGGGCTGCGCTCCGGGGACCCCGCCGCCCACCGCGGGGTGCGGCCGCCCCGCTCCAGCGCTGTTCCGCCCGGGGAGGCTGCGCGGGGGTCCCGCTCACACGGCCAGTGCCCGGGGCTGCGGGAGACCGGCTCCTTATCCAGYATCCAGCCCTGCTGCTTGAGCTGGGGTGCCAGCTGTGACACACACACATCCCCCACACCCTCCCCGTGGTACCGTGCGCATTTGCCCACCGCTCAAAACACAGGCCAGGGGAGCTGAGGACAAATTTCCCAGCCCTGCTGCCTCTCTCTGAACAATGCGGTGGGTAGGATGAAGGTTGCAATGCCCCCCTCCCTTCTCGTGACTGTCCCTCTGGCCTCTGCACCCACCAGGGTGGTGCCAGCCTGCCAGGGCAGCTGCATGTTGCTGTGCCCTGTCCCCTCCCTGGGCCTCCTGCCCAGCCCAGCCGCCTCTGGGGGCTTCTGCCCCCACCGTTCGTCCCAGCTGGCAGCCATTCCTGCTGGGGCAGGAGAAGGGGAAGGATGCTCCTGCAGGAGTCCCTATTCTGAGGCACTCCCAGATTGCCACTTGTGGGATGACGGCAGAGGATGCAGTCCCCCTGGAATTTCGAGGGCTTATCCTGTAGGGTGCTGAGCACCTCAGAGGATGGGAGTCCCCTCTGTCCAACCATGCCTTCCTCACTTGCACCATCGCTACCAACACAGCAGCTACTCCTTTTCCACCCACAGACTTTTTTCTGGGCTCATGGCACAGGGTCCATTCTCCTCACCCTGTCCCACAGCACAGCTGGACATGCTGCAAAGGCCACCCCTCCTTGCCTGCCCGCAGCAGCAGGGTGGGACCCACTCCTTGTGCCAGGCTCGCTGGGGCAGGGAGAGCCTTGGGCTGAGGGGTGGCACTGCATTACCTCATGCACTTGGATCAGGAGGCAAAGTCCCTAATCAGAGGTCTGCCACAATCACACCGGGGCTTTGCAAGCAGAAAAAGTCCATGGGTGTGCAAGATGAGCAAGGTCGGGTTGAGGGCAGGGGCTTAGCCTGGGCACAGCGCACAAGAAGCCCTTCCCCCCTTGCCCTGGGCACCTCAGTGAAGAGCAAAGAGGTCTTTGCTGTGCCCTCTCTTCTCTCATGGCCAAGCCGCTGTCTGCCACAGCCCACAGAGTATGTGGGCTTGACATCGGGATACTCACATCCAAAGAGTTTCTCCAGCTGTGAGTGGGGACCGCCAGAAAGGCTGGGAAAATACCTTCTGCTGCCTGCAGCGAGCACCTCAGCTGTAAACTCTAAAGTCAGCCTGGTTCCGCTCCAGGCTGCTTAAACACCAGCCCAGACCCCTTGGGTGCCTTCCCCTTCATATCTGCAGGCTCACAGCTGCTAAGGAAGTTACAGCCCTCACAGCCTGTCTCTGGGAAGCCACTACTCTGTCCCAGTTTGACCCGTGTCCCTGGGGCCTTTCCTAATCTCGTTTGCACAGGTGTCCCACAGGTGGGGAGCCCTTGTAATCCACAGATCTGCATCCATGCCAGGTAAAGCACAATCAGACTTTAGGCCTTTGCTATTTCCTATGAAAAGACAGGATTAACAGGGCCAAGTAATGGGAAATCCAAATGGCTCATTCTGGAAACTGTCTGCTACAGGGAAGGCTCAGGAGGGGAAGACAGTATTTTGATGGCTGTGGGGTCTTTGTTAAATTCATCAACCATAAAACATGGAGAAGCAAGACAGTGTGTAGCACAATCCATACCATTTTGGCTGGTCCATCTCTTTTCCCACAGTCCTGCTCATCCTCAGAAGACCCCACGTGATGGGTGCCAAGACCCATTGCAGATCTTTGTGGGGCACACTGGGGTACAGATCATTTCACAAAGCCTTCAAGCCTTCTGTGAGGTGCAGAGGAAAGCTTCAGACTGACCCACCCTAGTCTCCAGTACGCCACCGGAGAGAAGAGGCTGCTACTTCAGTTCTCAAAAATGTCACTCGGTTCACGTCCTGACCCACAAGTCTCTCTGACGATTATGCTGTCTTGTTGGACACCATGGGAACCAGTATCCTGGGCAATCCACCCCAAGGCCCTCCCCAACCTTTTGCAAAGAGCAGAACTTACCTCCAAACACATCGTGACACATGGGATTCTTCTCATAGGGATGTCTCATGGTTTCCCTGCAAACTGTCAGTGCTGGAGGTTTCCTGGGCACCTTCTTGAATGAAGAAGGCTGTCAGGTCATGAGGCTGTTTGTCCTAGCTCTGCAGCTGCCAGCCAGCTCCTGCTGGAGGGGCTGTCCAGCTCTGTATTCACCAGCTCTGGGCTCTATAGGATGTACACAATGGACAAGAGCTGATGGTGCCTGTTGAGAAAGGTCCAGCCCATCTGCCTCAAGGATGAGTGACCCCCTCAGCACGTGCAGAGCTTGGAYGCTCTGGGTGCAAAGCCATGAGACAGTGGCTTTTTTTTTTCTTGAGAATCAATGTGGTGCCCWTAGGAGCTAGCAGTCCCCCAGCAAAGCACAGGGACTTCCAACAGGGACCACAGTTCATCTTCTAGGAAGGTGTAGGTAGGCGACACTTTCTGCTTGATGGTGGTGAAGGCACAGTGGGGATGATGCCACACAGTGCTGCCTGTGGGGAAAACACCCCTTTCTACTAGGCATTTCTCCCTCAGTTGGTTTATACATTTATCTATAATTTATTTTTCATTTTCCCTCCCTCCCCTTCTTCCTCCTCCTTCTTTGCCCCCAATCCATGAACAAGACTCTCAGAGCTGGAGGAGAGAAGAAAAGCAGCACAGCTGCAGATTGGATCAGCAGCATGCTGGCAGGCAGGCACACAGAGCTGGGAGAGGGGAGCATGCTCTCACACACACAAAGCAGCACCAAATGGAGAGTGTGGAAGAAGGCCAGTGAAGGCTGGTGACGCACATCCCTGGTCTCCATCAGCTTCAAACCGAGCAACACCAGCAGATGACCGAGGCTGGCAGGAGGTACCACAATGCTGGAGACGTGCTGAGCACCACAAGCCACCCAAGCAAAGGATGGGCAAACTCTCCTGACCTCAAGAGGCTGCTCATCTCATCTTGGTGGCAGCCAGATGTAAAGCACCACGTTATCTACTGCGGATTCGAGTCTAAATGTTTATTTCCTTGTCCAGGGCCTGACATGTCCCTCCTTTCTTCTTTGTTTGTCGRAAGTGTCCCTATCACCAGTGACAAGAAGTACTTAAATGGGAGATGCACAGACTCAGCAGATGGGCAGAAGGCAAAGTGCAGTTTGCTGCTTGTTGAGCACTTAGGAGATGTGGAGAACCCTTCCCATGGCAGAGGTGGAGAGTAAGGAAAATAGCAGCTGCACCATGAGCTCCTGCTCTGCACTTCTTGGGCTATTCTCTCCTCTCCCCAAACCACCTAGTGCCACAGCAGGACCTGGGATGACTGCCAGATTCTCCTTGCTCAGAGGCTATTTAATCTCCCGGAGAGGAAAAAAGAATTCTCATGGGAAACTGTCAGCAGAGCAAAACCMGAACCTCTGAGGACACACAGCACTTTAGCAAGGGGCAGTACTGCTTCCCAGCCCTGCCTGCACCCATAGTGGAGCACCACCACAGCRGGGTCAGCTTCTCACCTTCCTCACCTGTGATAGAAGTGGCCTGTGCCAGGGCATGGCAATGGTGTGGGAGAGAGGGGGGRAAAGGGTCCTGTGCTGATGCAGCATCTGTACCCACCTCTCAGTGCATAGAGTTGCAGTGGCTGGGGCTAAACAGGGAGTTAAGGCTTCTTCCATCCTCTGCAACACCTCCACTGCTGCAGTGCAGCCCTGTGCCATTTGCTTTATATCCCAGTGCTGGTCTCCTTGCAGTACAAGTTCCTCTTGGTCCTTGGCAGCATTATTTCTGTTTGGCATGCGGATTCTCGGCTCGACAGAACACAGACACACCACAGACCACCAGAAGAGAAGCTGGTAAAGCACCATTTCATCATGCTGCAGAAAAATGGAGAGGATACTGTACAGCCCTGAGCAGTGGTACAGCCTTGTTCAGCCCTGCCTGCCCCTGGAGCCCCCATCTTCTGCTGTTTCCTCCTGCACTCCTGCACTTSCCAGCACACACTGGTCTGTGATGCCTGGCTCTGCTCTTCCCTCCCCTCCTTGCCCTGCTGTAAGAATCACACAGCCTCATGCTGATGCAGGATCCACTACCACTCAGACCTGTCATGAGGTGTAAGTTTGAGGTAGCTGGAAAGCACTGGTACAAGCTGACCAACTCTACTGTGCCTAAGAAATCATATTACATCCACTCCAAGTGCCATCTCCAAAACAAGGCTGGAGCCTGGATACCACTCACAGGTTAAAGATTGTCACTGTCATTCTGGCGTGGAGGAGAATAGAAAGTAAAGGCAAATAAGGATGAAAGTTTTAGTTTCCTTCACCCCGATCAGACATTTATCTCTATTTCAGCAGCTCTGTGAAAGCAATGACAAAAGAGACAGGCATTGCAGGTAAGCCTGCTCCTACCCAGCACTGTGGACCTGCAGTCACTCTTCCCATGCCAAGTGCTGTTATTCAGCTGGTTTTAACTAGGCCATGCTAAAATGTTTGGGTTGAACTTCATCTTGATGGTTAGCTGCCTAATGCTGAACTATCTAAGCAAATATAGTTATAAAATATATAATTTCAGCCAAAATGATTCATCTATTTCCAAGAACATTGTAAGGGGAAATGCTTTGGTTTCTCTTGCTTTTGTTACAGAGAAATCTGATGACCTATTCTTTGAAGAGCTCTTCAAGCTGCATGTTTTTGGCGTGCAGACTTGAAGTYTGGCAAAAGGAGAAGCAGGGAAGGCCTTTGGTTTAG